ATGGTAATACTGGGCAACTTGGTCGGCTATACGCGTGTTTCGGAGCTGAGAGCACTTGTTTCCGATACTGCTCGGCATCCGGATGTAGGCCACAGTTGCCTTTGTATAAATCCCTACATGACACATCGAGCACAGCAGGCGCTGCATGTTTCCGTCTTTGGTGGTATAGGGTCTGAATGGCGGCGTAGTTGGCCCGGCGGATCTGCTCTCGGTTGACCGAGTTCCGATGGGCTAACTGACGGCGACGTCGGGATACAGTTTTACACGTGTGTGTGGAAATGTCATGGAGGCGTGGAGGTCCAGAAGCGACAGGACTTGCTCCAGTGTCATGATGCCAAAATGCAACCCTCAGGCAAATGCCAGAAGGTCAACACTAGCAAGCGAACGGTCAGCGTGGGATTCCAAGAGTGACGCGGCGCAATCCACGGTTGGTTTAAACTAGACGCTGTAGTCATCGGCTTCAGACGAATAGGCCGTCAGTTGGCCGATAATTTGGTCCAAGATGCGTAACAGCGATTGTGATTATTGCTGCGGCCGGCAGGTCCTGGAATACTTCACTCGGCCAAGCCTACCCGCATTATGCTGGATGGTGTGTGCGTGCCGGCGATGTTGGCTTAGATCAATCTTCGTCGGGAAAAGTGGGAGCAATCAGCGAAGGCCAATTGGGCAACCATGCTCGGTCCGAAACTCTCATTGTCGTGAACTCGATGGTGGGCTAGCAAGCCAGCATCCGATTAGAAGCACTTGCCACATTCATCACACGAGATCCAAACTTGTCTCTCCTGTGTACTGGTTGGAACTGGTGCAGAGGTGTCAGATGATTCGTGGTATAAATAATCCAAAGTTACCACCACATTGAAACCAAACATGGTAGCTAGCCCTCTCCGGTGTTGTCGAAATTTTAGCTCACCCAGAATGACGTCCAGACTACCCGGTCAACACCACGAGGAGGTGGTTCAGCTCGCCTACATGGTTTGCTACTTGAACCACTGCTGAATTGTAGTGGTTGATTTTAAAGCCAAAGTGGTTTGCTCTTGGATGTGTGAGAACAACCGATTGCAAGGCGTTGTCAGCCGTGGTCTAATCGGGTATATTACACTTGAACCAAACGGGTTTAGGAGGACATGGATGCGAGTCCTCACCTAAATTTTGTTCATTGTTTATCGAGTCTGGGTGTGACGGTGAATACTACTGATGAAGTATTCGAGGAGTGTCTTCTCGTAAATCCGCTTCGAGTCTTTTGAAAAGTGAGACCTATTACGGAATATGTGGCGTCGCTTCGTAGCGTTTGCGTGTAGTTTTGTGACAGTCAATGAATATCCAGCATAGTTCAGGAAGAGGCGTCCAAGCAGAAGATGGATGTTCAGATGAATTTGCGAGGGTTAAGGTCATCTCGCGAAAGACTCATTCGATGCAATCGATCCCCGGGAAATTGCCCTTTGTCAGCGATTCACGTATTCACACCAAAAGCGTACAACCAAAACGCATTTGCTTGTTCTCAGTGATAATTTTGTCGACGAGTAGAGATGGCAATTTCGACCTGAGAATCATTACCATTCATTGAATATTTTGTGGATGTCTGTATGTGAATGCACATACGTGCACGCAATGCCACGGTGCAATCAATAAGATTCACAGAGCAGAATCCTGCCTACTACAATCTATTGGTGTAAATCAATGGGGAATACTGTAGTCAGTATGCCTGCTTCCTGTTAGGTTGTCAGGCAAGGGCCACGATGAGAATTCACTCTGAACCCACGAACTATGGGGACAGGATCACACTGATTCCTCGCGTTCAATGAACCGACATACTGCAAATTGAGCAACCCTACAAGCTGTCATTTCAGTGGCCGCACGGGACAGATCTATCCTCGTTCATGCGATACTGCCGGATTATATCTACGGGGTTCAACAAATACTCATGAGCGTTTGCGTGATTTCGCGCTCCTCTGATGGGCAATCTCAGTGTCCTTTGGACATCCCCTGACGGGAGTTTAGAGGCTCTCGCCGACTTGTATTCAAACGATATAACCCAGTTGAATAATCTCTAACAACATTCTGTTTCTCACACCTGCCTTTGTTAAGGTTATTTCGCTGCGCTCAATTTAACACTGGAGGGTCTCCTCGAGTGTTGCGATTTCGATCAGCAAGGATATCGCTCATTGGTCGTTTTGACATATTTTCAATTCAGACACTCATTGTATCTTTCACTGATTCCACAGAGTAAACAGAGTAGAAATCATACAACCAAGTGTTGGCAATGTACACACTCAGTCCTTCGTCTTCTCTATTACAGAATTACGCATAATGTTCAACAAAGCGCACAACAGTACATGGAACATAAACTTACGGCTTTTCATTCCCCCTGGAAAACAGAAAGGCCTATTTATGAACATCCGCACCGAGCTTCCAATAAGATTTCTGTAATTATAAACGTTGCTTGATGATTGATGGTGGTTTTCGGATTTCGCAATTTGTCTGACTGTGTGGACAATTGAAATTCCCCAAACCACATATTTCCAATCAACTACGTGATGCGCACTTGCGGTGCAATTCGCTTAGCTGATATTTTGCCGCATGAAAGCATAATTTCCCATCAACATGTCCGATTAGTTTCAGCATTCACATCACACTACTTCCAAATGGTATTCCAGCGCGGTCTCGTAACATAATAATATGTGCATTAATTCCTCGCTCAGTCTTTCTTCATGCTACGCCGTGTGTTCATTGCATAATAAACGGGCTTATGTGAGTGACTTAACGAGCTCCGCTGCGTTGGTTCCAGTTCCCAAGTTTCTGCAATAAAAACGTATTTCAGAAAACTGTGGATTCTATGTAGTGCTGTTGTGGTGGTCAACACGAAGCGATCGTCGTTTTTGGCTATGTTACAGATGTACTGGCACAATATTGCGACCCAGAGTCAGTAGTGTGACCGTCACATTTGTGGGGACATTTGTGGAAGCTGCCGAACGAGTTTCAATCCTACCACAAACTGGATTTTCCATGATGAAATCAATGAGATGCACACCCCAAAACGCTTGGTTTCCTGACTGTGTGGTAGGTCCCAAATCAATCTCGAGACCAGATACCGGAATTCGAAAATCGTCCCCAAATAAATTCTACCCAAACGTAAATTTTCCCGAATAATCATGAATCGCGCGAGTGATTGTGCCATACAACACCAATTATACTCACGGCATTCGATTACATTGACTTGTTATCCGAAAAACTTCTATACATTAAATTAACAGAATCGCGCGATGATATTTCGATTGAATGACTCAGTGAATGATTGACTGCCAGAATGTCTGGTTGGCTGATTGACTGGCTGATTGAGTGTCTGACTAACAGGTTAATCGAAAATAAACAATTTTTGTAAGATGGATAAATGCGGTCTCCCCGAAGATATGTTGGACTCTTGACTTCGTATAAAGAGATCATTCAGTTGCACGAATGTCCCGTGTACTATGTTACTCGACATTGATAACTTTGGATACCATTTCAAATATTTTGTAAGTGATGCTTGATTAGGCCAGTTGATACGGCTCCTAGGTGTAATGGTTACTGCATCGGGAGCAACATACCTGAATGAAGTGGATGAATACGTGGAGCAATGATTGAATAAGACAGAAAAGCGCCATGAATTCAGACTCACCTTTGTTCTTCTTTCCTGAAAAAACGAGATATGGAAAACTCTCAACATCCCGCCTAATAGAATGAATGAATGAATGGTCTTAGAAAAATTTTGTAAGTGTGATTCTAGTTCCAGTGTGTTTAGGAGAGCTTCCCACAAGCCTCCAGACGATTGTACTTTGCCGGGCCTACTTGCGAATATTCCCAGTAGATTTTGAGTTTTTCAGATTTTTGAAGCTATTCATTCAAATGTGCTTCAGTGCAGACAAGTTGAGTTCTCAGATGAGGTGGCCAATATACGTGAAAGATATATACGATGATGAATGAAGAGGAATGTGTCGGCCAACATAATAATTGGCCGTTGAATGGTTGAGTGAGCACATTTCTCTCTCACAGTTATGATACAAGTGGATGCAAGCTGTCGAGATTTTTGCGTTAAAGACGTTTTACTATTCGGCGGCGAAAATCCCGGTCGCGAACATTAGAAGAGATGCTTTATGGTGGAGGTGTGGTTCGAAATTGATGTCCATATTCAGGAAGTGTTAGGAAATATTGTCTTGGGTAAGGGTAGGCGGGATATACGATGCACCCTTCGGCTAGGATGAGTAGAAAACAGCTAGTTTGTTGCCCAATCTGCGAGCCTGTTCAGGATTGAGGGAGGCACTTATCTTGTTGCGTACAAATCTTTCGAGCTTATTAGCTGTTTCATCTTCTCAGATTTAGCCTAACTGAAACCACTTTCGTTAGGAACATGGCCATCAGTCTAGTGAGTCTTCACACGACTATCAAAGTGATTGTGGGTTATTTGCTTTTGTACAAAAGACATTAAAGAGTAATAAAAATCTTGCTGTCCCATTTTCAGAGAGGAAGCAGACAATGCCGAGGAGGAGAGAGCAAGTTGGGTAGTGACGTCGCCTAATGGCAATCCTCCAATCCATCAAAATATTGAGGGCAGTGTGATGTAATAACGCAATCACTNGGGCATGCAACAGCGATGTGGCTTCCAAACAGCCGTCTCGATGCAGAAGTGCAAACTGAAGAGAGGGCAGTTGCAATCTACGACTCCAGCGATCAGCAAGCACCTTATGGAAGCAACGGACAAGAATGGATGACACGGAGATCGGTCTCAGTTGATCAGGTGAAGTCGGATGTGGGACCTTCGTAATTGGAGAAATGCGGGCTCAACACATATGTGTGGGCAACCCACATTTAATGTGTGTGAGTTGAACTACCTAGGGAGCACGTTATCATTGGACCGGCGGAGTATCCTGTGTATGAGCTTGTGCACACATGGGGACGAATTGCCCATTAAATGGATCGTACGGCGGCTTTCTCGCCTGTAATTGGCTCAGTGAAGGTCCAGTCGGATGGTACTACCATGCGACTTGGCCGGCTATCCGCGTGTTTTGGAGCTGAGAAGGCTTGTTTCCAATACTGCTGGACGTCTACATGTCGTTCGCAGTTACATTTGTATAAATCCTTCCATGACACATCGAGCACAGCTGACGCTGCAAATTTCCGAATTTGATGGTATAGGGTATGACTGGCTGCGTAGTAAGCTCGACGGATCTGCAGACCGGGATCCGATGGGAATCACAAAGCAGGGTCCTGCATACTATCTTCTGTCGGTGTAAATCGCTGGTGAAAACTGTTGTCAGTATGCCTGCTTCCTGTTAGGTTGTCAGGCAAGGGCCACGATGAGAATTCACTCTGAACCCACGAACTATGGGGACAGGATCACACTGATTCCTCGCGTTCAATGAACCGACATACTGCAAATTGAGCAACCCTACAAGCTGTCATTTCAGTGGCCGCACGGGACAGATCTATCCTCGTTCATGCGATACTGCCGGATTATATCTACGGGGTTCAACAAATACTCATGAGCGTTTGCGTGATTTCGCGCTCCTCTGATGGGCAATCTCAGTGTCCTTTGGACATCCCCTGACGGGAGTTTAGAGGCTCTCGCCGACTTGTATTCAAACGATATAACCCAGTTGAATAATCTCTAACAACATTCTGTTTCTCACACCTGCCTTTGTTAAGGTTATTTCGCTGCGCTCAATTTAACACTGAAGGGTCTCCTCGAGTGTTGCGATTTCGATCAGCAAGGATATCGCTCATTGGTCGTTTTGACATAATTTCAATTCAGACACTCATTGTATCTTTCACTGATTCCACAGAGTAAACAGAGTAGAAATCATACAACCAAGTGTTGGCAATGTACACACTCAGTCCTTCGTCTTCTCTATTACAGAATTACGCATAATGTTCAACAAAGCGCACAACAGTACATGGAACATAAACTTACGGCTTTTCATTCCCCCTGGAAAACAGAAAGGCCTATTTATGAACATCCGCACCGAGCTTCCAATAAGATTTCTGTAATTATAAACGTTGCTTGATGATTGATGGTGGTTTTCGGATTTCGCAATTTGTCTGACTGTGTGGACAATTGAAATTCCCCAAACCACATATTTCCAATCAACTACATGATGCGCACTTGCGGTGCACTTCGCTTAGCTGATATTTTGCCGCATGAAAGCATAATTTCCCATCAACATGTCCGATTAGTTTCAGCATTCACATCACACTACTTCCAAATGGTATTCCAGCGCGGTCTCGTAACATAATAATATGTGCATTAATTCCTCGCTCAGTCTTTCTTCATGCTACGCCGTGTGTTCATTGCATAATAAGCGGGCTTCTGTGGGTGACTTAACGAGCTCCGCTGCGTTGGTTCCAGTTCCCAAGTTTCTGCAATAAAAACGTATTTCAGAAAACTGTAGATTCTATGTAGTGCTGTGGTGGTGGTCAACACGATGGAATCAACACTAAGCGAACACGTAGCTCTCGAACGTGAGTAGGCAGGCTGGACGAATTGTGGAATGTAGTCTTGATGTTTCTTCTTTAGTGTTATGTAGTGCTGTTGTGGTGGTCAACACGATGGGATCAACACTAAGCGAACACGAAGCTCTCGAACGTGAGTAGGCAGGCTGGACGAATTGTGGAATGTAGTCTTGATGTTTCTTTCTTTAGTGTTGTTCTGGTTTTCTCATCACTGATTGATAAGTTGAAGTTTACTTTTCGAGTTTCACTCTGGACATTAACCTGTCAAGCCATTCAAATGCACATGGGCAGTAACACGCCAGAATTTTGCGTTTGTGTATTAGAGCATTTTTTTTGCACAACCGCAGGAAAATATGAGGGTTGAGTAGGTTTTGCCAGAGGGCCCCAGATCCCATTTCATCGTTTAAACATGTGAGTTGGCAAGGCCTACCATGCTCTCACTCAATTATCCAACGTTAGTTATTTTGCTTTGTTTGTGTGTAAGTCTGCTTACACCCAGTGTTGTGCAGACGGTGGTAGTGACTAGTAGGGCCAGTCAATGAAAGAGCCATAATTTGAGTTTTGTTGTAACCTCTCGGGTAGCCAGTGACTGCGAAATATCTGGGCCTCTGTTTATGTATACGAAAGTGTTTGGTAAGTGAGGGCTGATGCCGGCTTATGCATGAAATGTGACCAATGCATAACAGAGCGAAACAAGTGCAGACGTGACTTGCCAACGAACTATCATCATAGAAGATGAAGAAACTGTAGAAAGATTGCATGTCCCTCCGCTAGTTTGAATTTCTCAGATGCTGGTTCGGTTATTCCATCAACAGGAGATCATCAACATGAAAACAACCCGACTTCCATAGTAATGCGAATTGGGCCATTGGATTTAATTGTTGCTATGATGAAACGTAAGGCGACCCTACCATGTATGTTAGGTCCCCTGACTGGTCAACGGGTTCCACCCAAAAACACACATAACCACCCAGCCGACGAAACACACCATCGAGATCATTTCACATCCAGGTTCTCCTTGACATACCATCTCCAAATTTCTTTTATTCTTCACGGAGAAACCTACACATCTCGTGGAATATTCTGTCAAAATCAACAGAAATAACTTGTTTCAGTGTAAGGATGGTAATCCCTTGATGCGTCTTCCAGCCAAGTTGGGTGCAGCTTTTGTTTCAGTACTGATGTGACTGATTTCACACGACTTCCATTCTTTGTCAACGCTTTCCCTGAATGATTTGAGGTCACATGAGCCACATCGCACTACCAGCCCAATTACTCTACTGTTTTCAGTTTTGAAGCAACATACTTGTAGATTATCGGGTGGTCGCGGATAACTAAAATTCACGTTAGGTTATGGGTGTTGAACCCGATATTATTCATCTGCTTGCCAACCGGGCCGTCTGCTGAACTCGCGCCGAAGATTTAGGGTGCGATGCAGAGCAGTTAAAATTGCATAATTTGCCTGTGTACATTCTATACATCATATTACTTAGCTCTTAAATGTGTCCGACTAATGAGGCTGTCTCATGACTTAGAGGTGAATATGGGGCAGTGTGCATGCCTCAGTGCATTCACTTAGCGTGGACTTCTGCTCCCACAATGTACAACTCACGGTGAGCACTCGAAATTCATTTGAACCGTAAAAGTGAATACCTACCTGTATTTCTGCAGAAGGATTCACTCTTGCCGTACAAGGATATTTCCTGCCCACATGGGCAATAAAACTAGCCTCATTCTGTAGCGCAATCCCGAAGAGTTATTCTCTCATCCGGTCTCACGACGCCTTACGGCATTGAACAGTCCTGTTCAGACTTAAGAAACCTTACGAAGTTCAAACGACGTCCGTATCCAAATGCATTTGTGAATACATGCGAATGCTGGACATACTATCCGTGTTTGCGAAGGCTAGATAGGTTTAGCCAACTTTCAAAAAGTTCTCTATGGGTTCCACCACTGCATGTGGTTCCATTTAGCTTGACTTCAGTTAGTAATCACTGTCTGAATATTGCGGCATTCACAAACTATCATGTACACCGAAATATGCAAATGACTCACCAGCCTTTGACCGAGAGCCTATGTAACGGGCGAATCGTCGTCAAGATTAGACTTTCATATAAAACGAAAGTATGATTCTAAGCCTGGTGGTGTCGTGATGGAATCAAAAATACACACAAATCAAAACGCTTGGTTGCGTGAATATGAGGTAGGTCACAAAACCATCTCGAGACTAAAAACTCGAATTTGAAAATCAGTCACAGTTAAATTGTATTCGACCGTAAGTTTGTGCCGAATAGTCATGAGTCTCGCAAGTGATTAGTGCAATATAGTGCTAACTATAGTCTCGGCCTTCGATTTCATTGACCCGTAGCTGGACACACCGCAGAACTTTTCGATTGACTCAGGGCCTGGATGGATGACTGGCTGATTGTCAAACTGTACGACTGCCTAGCTGATCAACTGTCTGACAAACTAACTGGCCGATGAAGGGACTGGCTGACTGGTTAATTAGAAATAATAAATTTTATAAATTTGACGAAATGAGTTTCTTTCGATAATTTGTTAGACTGTTGGTTTGGAATGGAGATGTCATATAATTGCATTAGGAGCTTGTTCGGAATTTTAATCGACACTAACATCTCCAATAAACATTTTGAACAATTTGCATTTGATGTTAAAGTAGTTACAGTAGCCTAGATGATCAGCTTTCGAGGAATAATGGATATTGTGTTTCTAGCAATATACTTAAAAGAAATATCTGTGATTAGATGAAATGACGGGTGTTTCGATCGACCGATCGTCGCATGGATGGATGGATGGATGGATGGATGGATGGATGATATGGATGGATGGATGGTTGGATGGATGGATGGATGGATGGATGGTTGGATGGATGGATGGATGGATGGATGGGTGGTTGGATGGATGGATGGATGGATGGATGGGTGGTTGGATGGATGGATGGATGGATGGATGGGTGGTTGGATGGATGGATGGATGGATGGATGGGTGGTTGGATGGATGGATGGATGGATGGATGGGTGGTTGGATGGATGGATGGATGGATGGATGGGTGGTTGGATGGATGGATGGATGGATGGATGGGTGGTTGGATGGATGGATGGATGGATGGATGGGTGGTTGGATGGATGGATGGATGGATGGATGGATGGGTGGATGGATGGTTGTTTTTTCGGTAGTTAGTGGGTTTCGTTCCATTTCTGAAGACTCATGCTTATCATACTCCTCCCCTTTTCCTTTTTTTTCATGCGATTCTTATTCATAGGCGTTAAAGCAAATCAAAATCAGCTTTCAAGGACTGAAACATTTGATCCGCGTCAAGCGTTGTTGAATCAAGAAAAATATTAGCTTGGCGAATAGCTCCACAATTTAGCGCATTAGCTTGCGCAAAGACAGCGTTGACGTAAACTGAATGCAGGTCCAACATGCCCCAATGCTCTACTCCATCTCTCCTGGTCTCTCCCGTGTCTTTCAGTACAACGTCGTGATACAAATGAATTCGGTCATGAGAGTGCGCAGCAGATAAATCTCTCTCTAAAAACTCATGAATTGAAGCTGGTAGGACGTGTTGAATTACTGCAGTCTTGGTCAGCAGTGCAAAGTTTAGTAGAAAAATACAAAGTAATGGGGCAGGTCTGTGAAATCATTTTACGTGCAACCATCTCTTCGTAGGATAAATATTTGTAGGAAGATGCCGCTTATGATCAAACCGTTTGAGTGGTCTTCATTTGTGCGACGACAGTAAGAAAATACCCAAATAGTGAAACGTACTTCGGCGCATTCCGCCTAGCAAATAGTTGAAAGCAATCAGAAAACTATCCAAATTAGATTACCATATGACCTGCATTTTGGCAACGAATTCTGTGGTTTTCGCATTCAAATTAGAAACAGAAAATGAAACTCGCTCGCGCAACAAGGCATTGGTGGGCTGCTCCTCCTTGACCGTCCGAAGAGAATGGACCTTGTCGTGGTGTGACGCTTAAAGTATCTGAGTAGCCCAGTGAGCTGTCGTGAAGTATGCTCGTGGAGCATTCAGCGTGCACTAGGGTCTACCTGCCCCGCTCCGGGTTGGTCAATGCTTAGAATTCGGACAATCTCAGTCTCCTGTCTGTTCAAGATTCGTTTGGAACAAGTGTGGCAATTTATTTAATACAATCTGTGTTACTAGGCAGCGCTGCTTTGTGGTCATTTGACTTCAGTCTCCTGTCTGTTCAAGATTCGTTTGGAACAAGTGTGGCAATTTGTTTAATACAATCTGTGTTACTAGGCAGCGCTGCTTTGTGGTCAGGCATTTGACTTAAAGGTTTCATATGACGACCACAATCACCCTCCTGTCTAGATCCCAGCGTTTGACCTGTATCTCGGCCCAAACACAAGCATGAACTGAAAAATGATGCTGACGATTATGGCGGTAATGGTGATTGCTCAATATGGTTGCCGTGAATGATGATATGTGATCGAAAACACAATTAAACCTGAGTCCTACGCTACGCATATGGTGTATCAGGACAACATCCGACCCGAAATTCAACCGGCATTCGCGCAAGAGGAATGACTCTCATTTGTACACTCTGTGGTTGGACACCTCTAACTATCATTGTCTCCCTCAATTATCGGCAACGCAAACGGCGAGCGAGTGGTTCAGACTTCTGTGGGCAGAATATTCCATACAGTAGCAGGCAGTCTGTCTGTGCAATTCACTCACCACTTCATTCATCACATTCATACACACTACATAGCCATCGCCGCTAGAATGTTCTCAATTTCAACAAGAGCTCAGGTGTTGAATATGAATGTTGCTTGAATCTGGTCATCGCATTAGTGCTTGTGTCTCAACTATCAATCGACCCAGCTATTGATGGGTTAAATGAGGTGTGCAAACGTAGAAATGTGACATTCTACACCGCATCATTCATTTTGCCACCAGCACCACTACACAATGATCTGCGTATTATCATTTTTTTCTGCTTCGTCGTTTTTTTGGAAAGCGTTTTGGAAGAAATTAGACCTTGCAGGAACAACGATCCATGGGCCGAAAATTTGAGAAATTACCTTTGATGTTCCGTATCTACAGTGAATTTATGATATCGGGGTAGATTTCGAATTTCGTCTTCTCATGTTGGGAAAGTTATTCTAGAGTCTTGTAGTATTTTACGAGTGCCGCAAGGAAAAACCCTCCATATTCATGCCGTCACCAGTAGCAACAATAATAACATGTGAATGGGTTTTCACCAACCTGTGTTCTGCTTGTGTTCAGTTCACGGTTATGAGATGGACACTAGAAACATATTGTTGAAGACAACTCACCTCTCTTCCGGGAAGCTTCCGAGAGTTCTGAAAGCAGTCGTACATTTTTGCTTATTTCCATTTGCCACCGAAAAGACTGAGTGGTTGACGCGGTTCGTGGTTATTTTACTATTTTTTTTCCAAATCATTGAATGTATAAATATTACGAGGACGAATTCAAATAAACAATATCGCACTCAGTGAGTTGTGGCCATTTAGTCGGTTAAGTGAAATGAACGAAATTTGGAGTAAACGTGTTAGTTTCGCCGGAATGCTTTTAGTATCCAGACTTTCATGCAGTTACTGTCTCCTAAAAAATCGCAGTGGTACCCACTTAAAAAGAAGTAGTAAAAACCAACTCAAAACCTAGAAATGAACAAATCATTCACCAGCGTTCCTGAGAATATTCATATCCACGTATAGTGTGATCCATATGAAATTACTGAAAAGGTGGACTCAAACAACTTCACCGTGGCCAAAAGCATATTGATATTAGTCTGCATAACTTTCAACGCATAGTCCACTAGAAGATTTTTCTATAAAAATATTCGATAAAGTTTCTCTTGCGGCGATGGACAAGGGTCGGCATGAGGCCGATTACTAGTGTCATCGTGTTAAAGATTCATCGGACTTTAATGAAACAGTGATGTAGATCACTTAAACACTGGTATCCTATAGGTGCCCCAGGGAATCACCTACATAAATACATCGAGAATTCACTAAAAGATTACCAAGGTTTTTGTTTGCCCTAATCAGACCTGACGTCAGTGTAGAACAGCACCAATCACATGTTACCGCATAACTAAGAATGAAGGAATGGTTGCATCCCGAGTTTTCGTTTGCACAACATCCAGTTTTGCTTCCGCGGTGGACTGGTTGGTTCATAAGTCCACCACTTCCTGAAAATAAAACTTGAGAGAATGTTCCTTCTTGCATCCCTAGCTATCTGTGTCGAGTGGTTTTGTGCATAACTTGTACCTCCCAACACTTCGTAGGCTTCTCTTTGGAAGTAAGTTCTATAAGTCGTCAGCGGAGTGTTCTGTTGAACCTCTCCAAAAGTAATTTAAGTCTAGCCATCATTTATATCGAGATAAAACCAGAACGTTCAGCAAAATGAGGTCGTACACGTGATAAAAACGGATTTCTACACCATAAACTGGCACCATTAGAATAGCTCTAACTCACCGATGACAACAATTATTACGACCAAAATGAACAGAATCTTAACATACATTGTTCTGTGCACTCGGATAGAACAGAGAAATCACGCTTACTAGCTATAAGTAGCAAAACGTCAAAGTTCCCATTGTCTGTGAGTTTGATCTAGATAACTATTGGCTAGAAGAATGGATGAGGTCAATTCCACCAATAGTGAACAGTCTTTCTTTCAGCATCTCAGATGAGTTTACACTTGCACTTAACGGGGACAAGTCCTCCTCTAAAAATCTCTCTAATTCGAAACTAGCCAACAAGTTGTATGTTTTACAATAACCAGAAAATGAACCTATTCAAAAACTCGATCACTCAAATAATGCCGGCTGATTTCCGACTTTTAACCAGCGTAAACAATGGCGTAGCACTCTATAGCAGTGTGATATCTCAGACCATCTGCCTGCTGCCGCTAATCGTTCCGTACTGTAAGCAACCCATCCGCAGTATGATATTGGATTTCTCATCCTCTGCTACTGCTTTTGTACAAAAATCATGATATTATACTACCAGGGCCTCAATTGTTTTGGTTCTTGGCATTGACTACGGGCTCAGTACGAGTTAACGTTCAGCTGTAACACCCTTCCGGTGCCTAGCTACCATGCCACCAGAAAGAAGCACGAGGGCTGAGATCAGGTTAGGTTGCCCAAGCCTAGATAGAAGTCGAGAAGCAAAGGTCGGGTTCGAACCACGGACCTTCCATTCAGTAAATTCGCGCCCACTTGAGCCGTCTCGCTCCAATACGAGTTAACCGATTGCTCATATGATGCAACCAACTCTCCCGGTGAAACCGATGTTCATTTTTGTCATGCGCCTACTCTCCAGTTGACTTAACCAGGATTCATGAAAGCAGGTGCAAATTCGACTCCCGATGAGTAGCCATTTCGAGCTTACTTGAATCACACTAGCCAAAAAAATTGCAGCCAAACCCAAACAAATAGCACGAGTTCATCCCCTGCCGGTAAGTTCCCTCTAGTGAACACCAATAAGAAACGCAAACCATAGATTGTCGCCCATCTTTTGATAAACTAAACGTCATCATCATCGACAGCATGACATCGGTGTTTAACACCGATGCATC